AATTCATCACATGAATAGACATTAAGACACAAATCACATGAGTATCTCAATAGATGCAAAAAAAAAAAAGCATTTGACAAAATGCGGCATCTGCTCATGTTCAAAACACTAGAAAAACTAGGGATAACAGGAATATATCTCAACATTGTAAAAACTATGTATGCTAAACCCCAGGCCAACATCATTTTAAATGGAGAAAAATTGAAAGCATTCCCTTTAAAAACTGGAACAAGACAGGGATGCCCTCTTTCACCACTTCTATTTGATATAGTCATGGAAACTCTAGCCAGATCAATTAGACAGAAGAAATAAATTAAAAGGATACACATAGGAAAAGAACTCTCAAACTATCCCTATTTGCCGATGACATGATTCTATATTTACAAGATCCAAAAACTTCATTAGAAAACTTTTAGAACTCATAAATGAGTGCAGCAAAGTAGAGGCATTTGTGGACTGTGTATAGACCAAACTGGCATTGTAGCCAATGAATAAAAATCTGGTATCTGGGAACTTCCAGTGGCAATTCTGTTGGTTAAGACTGCCCAGATACATATGAGTTTTATTTAGCTCTACCAGGTTCCACATAGCACTAGAGATGGGGTGACCTGCTGCAGCCACATGATTATCTCAATAGATGCAGAAAAAGCATTTGACAAAGTGCAGCATCTGTTCATGTTCAAAACAGTAGAAAAACTAGGGATAACAGAAACATATCTCAACATTGTAAAAACTATGTAAGCTAAACCCAAGACCACACAGACTCCCAGAGAGGAGTGTGGCTTCCCAAGATGCCAATCACCCAGTTGACTGCAAGACACCATGAAGCCAGACTCCACCAGCTGAAATCTTATCCCTGCCTTTGATGCTCTCCCTTAAATAAAAAATCAGAGCCATTTTCTAACTTCTGTTCCAGCTCCTAACAGAACTGGAAAAATATATATCAGAATGAATATTCTGACTTTGTCTTTTATTTCTTCACTAATTACTTCATACTTTAATTTTCTCAGTGGCATATTCCCTCCTACACAGGAAGAATTGCCCTGGCAAAGTGCTGGCTGCCTTGTGAAACCCCTGTAAATCAATTGCATTCCTATACATCAGTGATGAATCAATTGAAAGAGAAATTAGGAAAACTTCCCAATTCACAATAGTCTAAAATAAAAAAATTGGGACTCAATCTAACAAAAGAGGTGAAAGAACTTTACAAGGAAAACTACAGAATATCAAATAAAGAAACTGAAGAAGACCTTATAAAGTTGGAAAGATCTTCCATATTCTTGGATAAGCAGTATTAATATTATCAAAATGGCTGTACTTTCAAAAGAACTACCCAGATTTTTTATAATCCCTATGAAAATTGCAATGTCATTATTCATAAAAATACACAGAGCACTCATGAAATTCATTTGAAAAAATAAGAGACCCAGAATAGCCAAAACAATCCTGAGCGAGAAAATTGAAGCAGGAGGCATCACAATACCAGACTTTAAATTATACTACAGAGTTATAGTAATAAAAACAGCAGGGGTATTGGCAACAAAACAGACATTAAGACCAATGGAATAGAATAAAAGACATAGAGACAAACCCACATAAATACAGTTATCTCATACTAGACCAAGGAACTGAAAACATACGTTGGAGAAAAGATAGCTTTTTCAACAAATGGTGCTGGGAAAACTGGATATTCATATGTAGCAGAATAAAACTAAACACCTATCTCTCACCCTGCACAAAACTCAAAACTCAAAGTTGATCAAGGACCTAGGTGTTAGGCCAGAAACCCTGTGCCTAATAGAAGAAAAAGTGGACCCAACTCTCCATCATGTTGGCTTAGGAACCAAATTCCTCAACAGGACTCCTAATGTGCAAGAGGTTAAAAAAAAAACAATAAATAGGATGTAAAAAGCTTCTTCATAGCAAAGAAAATAATCAGGAATGTGAATAGAGAATCTACAGGATAAGAGAAAATCTTTGCCATCTCTACTTCAGGTAGAGCATTAATCTCCAGGATATATAAAGAACTCAAAAAAATTAACACCAA